TTTGAGATGTCTTGTTGATCCTGGCTCTCAAAGTGATTATATTTCCGCTTCCTGTCGTAAGCTACTTTCGCTTTCTATTAATAATAATTCCCGCTATTCGGAAGTTCAAGGCATAGGAGGAGCTACACAAAAAATATTAGGTATAACCGCACTCACATTTTCGTCGCGCTTTGATAATAAATGTGAATATTCTATACGGCCCATGATAGTTGAGCAGATTACGTCGCACCTGCCCGACTCGCGCGTAGATGCAGCAGCGATTACATTTATTCGTAACTTACCACTTGCCGATGATGAGTTTTCACAACCGGGGCCTATTGATATACTTTTAGGTGTTAAACTTTTTTGTGAGATTTTACTTTATGATCATATTAAAAGTCAGCGTAACGGCATGCCCTCCGCCTTTGAAACGACCTTAGGTTACCTAATTATGGGTGACGCTCCTATTATTTCTCCGCTACCCGCTACTCGCACATTGTGTGCTTTTACTTCAGATCCGCTACACCAGATTGTCGAAAAATTTTGGGCCATTGAAGAGTTACCTTCGCGCACTTTCTTAAGTCCCGATGATCAACAGTGCGAATATATTTATTCTTCAACAACTGTTCGTAACTCTGACGGCAGTTATTTTGTTGATCTTCCCTTTAAAGATGACCCCAATAAATTAGGCAATTCTTATAATACCGCTAAGAAACGATTTTTACTTCTCGAAAGGAAGTTTTCTAAAAATCCAAAACTTAAAAATGCTTATGACGAAATTATTCGTGAATACCTAAACAAAGGTATTTTATTACCACCGCACCGCACCTGAGTTATGCAACAGCCCAGGTTTTTATTTACCGCACCACCCTGTAGTTCGCGACGACAAAGTGACTACTAAGATCCGCCCAGTGCTGGACGGCAGTGCCAAAACCGACACAGGGCTATCTTTAAATGACATATTACTCACTGGTTGCAATTTGCAAGCAGATATTTTTCACATTCTTTTGAATGTTCGCATTTTCCGCATAGCATTTTTTGCAGATGTAAAACAAATGTATTTGTGTATTTACACTAACGCATCGCACCGTAAATATCAACGTATATTATATAGATTTTCGAATAATGACCCGCTAGAAGTTTTTGAGTTCACTAGGGTGACATTTGGTCTCCGATCTTCTCCATTTTTGGCACTCCGCACCCTACGTCAGCTCGCTAGGGATGAACGACATAAGTTTCCAAACGCGGCAGACATCATAGAAAGAGATATATATATGGACGACCTGGCTTCGTCTGTTTCTTCGTTTGGAGAAGCAGTCACGACAGCTGCAGAGTTGATCCAGCTGTTCAAGGCCGGTGGTTTTGACTTAGTCAAATGGGCATCCAACTCGCCTGAATTGCTTAACAGTATACCGGAGTCGCACCGACAGTCTGAATTTATTTCTTTCGACGAGGGAAATATATTTAAGATTTTAGGCTTGCGTTGGTTACCTACTCTGGATTCGTTTGTTTTCGAAACTTCTAACCCGCCGTCTGTTTGTACAAAACGTACTATTTTGTCCGCGACCGCCCGTCTATACGACGTTCTAGGACTCGTTGGACCTGTTATTCTTTACGCTAAATTAATAATAAAAGAACTCTGGCTTCTGAACCTTGATTGGGATGCCGTACCTCCCTACCGCATTGTCAATCTTTGGCAAAACTATTTAAGTGAACTTCCGCAGATCTCAAATTTATCATTTCCGCGCCATTTTGGTATTGAAAAATACTCAAAAGTTTCTTTAGTAGCTTTTTCGGACGCTAGTGAATCCGCATACGGTTGTGTAATATATTTACACGTCGTAAATGGAGACCAAAGCCCTATTGTCTCATTAGTATGTTCAAAGTCACGTGTCGCGTCCGCAAAACCAAAAATAACTTTAGCCCGTTTAGAACTTAATGGTGTACTTTTACTTTCGCGACTTCTTAAATCTGTATATGACACTTTGTCTGCGAGACACAAAATTGATAATATTTTTGCATTTTCGGACTCGGTCGGTCGGTCGGTTTCCTCACCGCATAGATTTAACACTTATGTTGCTAACCGCATTTCACAAATACAAGAAAATATTTCCACTGATAATTTATATCACGTCGCTGGCCTACAAAACCCCGCAGACTGTATGTCTCGTGGGCTCTCACCTTTACAGCTCATTCGGCATGAGCTTTGGTTTAAGGGCCCGCCTTGGCTCTCTTTGCCTATCAACGACTGGCCTATACAAAAGTTTATATCAAATCAGTTATTGTTACCGGAAGAAAAAACCGTTTCTCACGTGACAGCAGTTACTGCAATTAATCATCCTCTTATAGAATTAGCTTCACGGTGTTCCACTTGGCGAAAGCTTATTTCGTCAACTGTATATGCGCTTAGATTTATAAAAAGGCTCCCGCGGAACAACGTTATTACCGCTGAAGATTTAAATATCGCAGAGTTAAAAATTATTCACGCAGTTCAAACACAATATTTTTCTGATGATATAAAATGCATCGCAAAGGGCCAGCCGTGTTCTCCTAAGTTACGAAAATTATTTCCGTTTTTATGTGACGGACTTTTACGCGTCGGAGGTCGCTTATCGAATTCGACATTAGATTATTCATCTAAACACCCGATTTTATTACCTAAACATGGACGTATTACTGAGTTATTAATTGAATTTTATCACGTAAATAATTGCCATGCTGGGCCGCAGTTATTAATTTCCTTATTAAGATCCAAATATTGGATAATTTCAGCTAGACGTATTGTTCGTCAACGCATTCATCTATGCAACATTTGTTTCCGGTTGAACCCCAAACCTACATTTCCGCCTATGGCAGATTTGCCTAAGTGTAGATTAGAAAAATGTAATGCATTTCTACATACGGGCGTAGATTACGCTGGTCCGCTTTATATTACGCCGTACCGTAAACGTGGTGTTCATAGCGTAAAAGCTTATATATGTATATTTATATGTCTAGTTACTAAAGCAGTTCACATAGAACTTGTTTCAAATTTAACTTCTGCTTCATTTATTGATGCGTTTAAGCGCTTTATTTCGCGAAGGGGTCCTTGTAATTTTTTATATAGCGACAACGGCACGAATTTTGTCGCTTCGAAAGCTTATTTTAATGAACTTTACGAGTTTCTACTCTCTGATGATTATTATAAAACATTTAATAGTGAGCTCGCGAAGCACCGCATTACGTGGCGTATGAACCCGCCTACGGCTAGTCACTTTGGTGGCATATGGGAAGCGAACGTTAAGAGCGTAAGGTCACTTTTATTTCGCGTGATTGGTAAACAAATCCTTACGTTTGAGGAGATGTCTACTGTACTCACTCAAATTGAGGCGATTCTTAATAGCCGGCCTCTTTATGTTTTAAGTTCCGATCCGTCAGAACCGCTTGCACTTACGCCTTCACATTTTTTATGTACCGCTCCACTAGAATGTTTACCCGCGGCTGACTTGACCGAGCAGCGATTGCATTTATTGTCTCGTTTCTCTTTAATGGATAAGTTGGTGCAATCGTTTTGGAAACGATTTCAATCTGAATATTTACATAATTTGCAATCGCGCGAAAAATGGAATACTCCTTCGAATCCTATAACGGTAGGCACAATAGTGTTGTTAAATATTGATAACGCTCCACCATTACAGTGGCCTTTAGGAATTGTAACCTGTCTATACCCTGGTAGGGATGGAATTATTCGCGTTGCGGAAGTAAAAACAAAGGCTGGCGTTTACAAGCGTCCAGTTGTGCGGCTATGCCCGCTTCCGACTCAATAGAGTCATAGACTAGTTCTATTTATTTAGTTTACGTTGTCACTTAGACAAATACATTTTAGTTTAGTTTACTTTTTATTTTTTTTACTCGCTACTCGCCTTAATATATTTAACCGCTCCGCTATGCTACGATATGCGGATTAATTTTCCCTTTGTTGAAGGGTTTCTTCAAGACCGGGGGGATGTTGGATTTCGTATTTTGCGGGTTTTTAATAATTTCATTATAGGGTAGTTTATGCACTTGCAATTGCCTTAATCCAATCTGTCTCCCATCCTTTTCATACATGTGCACTTTTAGCTATGGCCGTCCTGCTTTCGACGACACCGCGGAGTGCATAGGACATTATACTTTTTCCACCTCTCTCTTGTGAACGTTGTAATGGAAGACACACATGTTGTGATATAGTATCCAAAAATTACTGTGCGATCATACTATTAGTGAACATTTTACATTGTGCAATTTATATAAATACAAAATCTGTGCCGGCAAACGATTTATTTTCGATATAAGTGCTTGAAGGATGACTTGCGACCAAACGGATGGTGTGCTGAGGTAAGTGCGCATGTTCCTTTCCTTTGTCTCCAAGTCTTCAACCATTTTCTTCGTCCTTAAATAGATAAGGCATTTGCAAGGCGCAGTTTATTTTGTATTTTTAATAATATATGATTGTGTATTACCGCCCCCCAGATACAGTCCACTATTAACCTACGCCTAGGGTTAGCCTCTCCATATAAGTATTGAGCACGCAAAATTATTATTTTCCCGCAACCCAAGTTATGGGGGTTTAGGCGCCTCCACGTTCTGTATAACGTTGTTGACATTCTTTGTCAGTGATTGAAAAAAAAACAACAGGTTGGACCTTCTACGTTTTCACTTATAAATGTTGTATGTCTAAGTAAAAAACCTATATAAAATATATACACTTACTATGTATAATGATCGCAAAGTTAGCGTTGCTAATAAACTAATTTAAATAAATAAACAATTACCTTATTACAACAACAAAAAAACCATGCATTCACCACGACATTTAAAAAAAACCATTAATAATTTCCCTAAACATGCTTTAAAACCGTATCTAGCTTTTTAGTTACAACCATACTTATTATTTCAAAAACAAATAGGAAGTTATGTATGCATAACGTACCTAAGGTTTGTGTAGTAACTAAAAATATAATATATTAATTTTACTAACTAAATAACATAATTATTTTCAGATTATACATAAAAGAAAAGCAGAAATGAAAGAAATCATTAAACAGAAGCATATGGAAGAAAAAGAAAATGGTATTAATTTTGAGTACATTTTTTATTATTCTTATTGTTTCATTTAATCTTTATTACCATAAAAACAGTAAAAGGCGGACTTAATGCCATAGGTATTCTCTACCAGTCAACCACTTCATTCTTATTTTTGGTAACTTCTTTGATATTTAATGAAAAGAAATCTCTAACAAACCCTTACCGATATTCGGAATCTTTAAACCTCTTCATTCTCCTAAAAATGGGGTGATACATGTCAAATAAAATCTCACTTCCAAATTCGATAGCTGCATTTTAAACATTACTTATATTTAAACGTTAGCCATCAGACACAGAACTGTGAAAGCAGCCAGTAATAGATATTTCAAAATTCTCAAAAATCCGAATAATGAGATCGTAAGTGAGTACCTTACAGCTGGTAGAGTCTGTGCGGAAAAAGAATGGGCGTGGCGAAAAACGGAACTAACATTAAGATTTTTATTTGGCAATCAAACCCAGCAATCTGTAAAACGTCAAAGTTTTGTATTGATACGGTTTTGTTTGTTGTTGTGATTTCTTGCGGTTTTGACGTGACAACGTCTTAAATTAGGTTGCGGCTGGGAGTCACTTATGAAAAAGTGTAACGCTCGGTAACGTTACGATGAGTCTCTCGTGTTAAGTTTAAGTTTACATGTACAATGTTTTAGTAAACAAAATATATTTCTATAGTTAAAATTTGTGCAATTCTTATTTTCATTCAATTCCTTGTTCCTATTGTGCAATTTAATTATATTCATATCAATAAATATTCTACCGAGAAAAAGACGTTGTCACGTAAAATCTTCGCCCGTAAAACCGACTTTACAGGCAACCATTTTTTGACGTGACAACGTCTTAAATTAGGTTGCGGCTGGGAGTCACTTATGAAAAAGTGTAACGCTCGGTAACGTTACGATGAGTCTCTCGTGTTAAGTTTAAGTTTACATGTACAATGTTTTAGTAAACAAAATATATTTCTATAGTTAAAATTTGTGCAATTCTTATTTTCATTCAATTCCTTGTTCCTATTGTGCAATTTAATTATATTCATATCAATAAATATTCTACCGAGAAAAAGACGTTGTCACGTAAAATCTTCGCCCGTAAAACCGACTTTACAGGCAACCATTTTTTGTATTTAATCATGTCTAAAAGGGGTAAAACCTTACAAATACGGTAGAAAAGCACTACAGTGCCCTCCAATCTAAATCCCATTCTCTTTCCGCACAAACTCTATCGACAAAGCGCTCAGCAATTTAGATTCAGTTGTTTTACTAGCGTCTGATTTCATCTTTCCTCATCTTTACCATTTTCCAGCAGCTATGATAATATATTTATAACTCCAACTAACTCCAAGTTCTCTTTGGTCGTAATTATTGTAAAACAGTCGGTAACAAAATAGGTACATTTTATCCAGAGTCATCAGGCGTGAAATTCAAGTCGTACTTGGACTTGCTACTGGAGATGAGCATTAACGACCCGAACTTCACGACGGAGCAGATCCAGGCCGAAGTAGACACCATCATTGTGGGAGGGCAGGAGACCATCGCGCGGAGCATGTTTTTCATCTTAATCCTAATCGGCAGTAGCAAACAAGTGCAAGATAAACTGTATGCCGAGTGAGTGATATATGTTTTCATTTTTGTTATATATATATATAAAACTCAAAGGTGACTGACTGACATAGTGATCTATCAACGCACAGCCCAAACCACTGGACGGATCGGGCTGAAATTTGTCATGCAGGTAGATGTTATGACGTAGGCATCCGCTAAGAAAGGATTTTGATTAATTCTACCCCCTAGGGGATAAAATAGGGAATGAAACTTTGTATGAAACTATGTCAATTTTAAACCGATCGGGCTGAGACTTTGCATGCAGGTATAAGAAGAATCATAGATGAATGTCACTGTGTATAATACAAGCCTGCGAACAAAAACTGTAGTCTACACTTTAGCTCTTACACCGAAGCGAAGCGAGGGCGGGCCGCTAGTAAACTATAGATTCTTACAGTGATAAAAGTTACGCGCGGTCCCGGACAATTGCGAACTGACAAATGATTAAGAGGTAGGCCAATGGTATTTTAAGGTAGGGCATTGCCCCATAATGCCATTGCCAATTAGCACTGTAAGCCAGGGCCGTAGCTAGGTATAATTTTGGCACTAGGCTAATTTTACTACTTACTATATTGTTTTAAACTTTCATAGTCACTAACATTATAGCTATGAACGGGATTGTTACCATGTACCTTGTTTTTTATGAGTCTCCGATATTTCGGCACTGTTGCAAGCGCCATGATCACGGAGTAACTGAAGTAATTGCGGGTAGATGTTATTGGCAGACATATCGGTCTACCCTCTGTCGTCGTCTTTTACTGCGCTCGATACCCCTACCACTGGTCACATTCTCACTATTCACTCGCACCTGTTCTCGACACACAATACTCACAGCATCAGATCGCGGAACGATACTTTTTTGATTTTTGCGGTTTTTACACATACGTACCACTGGATTCCAGACATTAGACAATTTAAACCCATCCTCACGATTGAAATTCTTATGTTTGGTTATTTCTATCGCTTCCCTGACCAATCTTGGTATGTAGTGGCGATCTGTCGAGATAATTTGTGGATTATGGAGCTCAATCCAGTGATTAGGACCCGAATCAATTAAATGATCCGCGATGGCTGATATTTGCGTATCATTATTTCTGACTGCTATTTATGTGTTCTTTCATTCGGCACGCTATTGTCCGCTTCGTTTGGCCAATATACGAACTACCACAGCTGCAGTCAATCTTGTATACACCAGGTTTCTACAAGGTGAAATATCGGAGACTCATAAAAAACAAGGTACATGGTAACAATCCCGTTAATAGCTATAAAATTTACTGCTTTCTATTGTAGATTCCAGGAAATCTTCGGCGACAGCCTTCGTCCGGTGGAGACGGAAGACCTGGCTCGCATGCCGTACTGCGAGGCCATCATTCTGGAGGCGCTGCGGTTGTACCCGCCCTTCCCAATTATCGTTAGATACGCTGATAGGGACTTACAGCTCAGTGAGTCTTTATAGTTTGTGTTAATGGAGACCCGGCACTTTTCATAGAAAAAATGCTAAACTTGTATACAGTTGAATTTGGTCTCAAAATAAAGCCAAAATTATTTGCTACATAAAACTACTTTTGCCTTATTTTTAGTGAATCGTGGAAAGAAGTTATTTAATGATTAATATTTTTTGATATAGAAACCCTTTTGATGACAAACCTACGTATATGACATTGACAGCTAGCTGCTGATGACAAATATTGCCAGACTACGTTACCCAATTATGAAACACAGATAAAAAAATTAAAAAAGTATACAACTTTGGCACAAAATGCCGGGTGTCCTTTGTCTTAGGCTCAACTCACACTGGCGCAGAGTCGAAGCGTTGCGTCATGACCGGTTCTTCAACTTCAACGCGTGAAGACGCGCGGTTCGCGCGACGACTCTCGCACTAGCAAGCCCAGATCACAGTGCTGGATTACTCCAGAAACTTTTGTACATTCGTGAACGGCGTTTTTGCTAACAATACTTTTTTATGCATAATAAAGTTATTAATTTTCACTCCAAATTACAAGTGTTTCCTTGAAACAATCAGTGGATGCATTAATTGATTTTCTAATGTTAAGAGGAAATCGTTGGCAGCTGTAATAGTAAAAACTGTGGCACAGCTGCGAGCGCCCCCACCCAAGGACAATTTTATATAATTTTGGGTCTGAATAGAGAACTATAATCAAAAAACTATATAAACTAACACCATAAAAGAGATTATATTGTAACAATCTCTTATCTATTAGACAAGTCCGTCCGTCCGTCTGTGGTGCTGTTTCAGCGGCCAAACCGTAAGAGGTAGATAAAGAGAATATTTAAGTTATAAGTTAAGAATAGTCTGATAAGACTACAAACCGGATTTGAGTAACGTAGCACTTCCGGTTTTCGAGAAATCACGAATTTCAAACGAAACCACACAAAATCTCCGAAGTTCTCAATTAATTAAATACATTTTTTTTAAATCAGGTTTTGGTGAACATTTGGTTCACTGGTTTGCTAGTTACGTCTAATACAAAAGAACACTGTTTCAATGTTTATATTAAACAAAGAGTGAGATCAGTTTCCATGTATCAAAATCTTCTGTATCCATAAAATTAAACTTTATAAACCTAGAGACTAATACAATGGTTGAATATTTGTAGTTGAAGAATAAGAAAGTGAAATTATATCAGAAGCTGAAGCGAGAAAAAGAAAAGATAAATTCGTTGGTCGCTGTCTGACGCGTCATTGCACACGAGTGCTGCATGGCGACGTGCGAAACCGCTCGACTTTAAATAAGCGTCGAGGAGCGATTCCATATTTGCATAACACTTTGTACTTTAACTCTGGAAAATAGAGATGAATGTGCTACAGGCGAAAAACATAACGAATCGCTTGGAAACTGCGCCGGTGTGAGTTGAGCCTTAAGAATTTTGTTGCAAGTGGTCCTTGGTTGGCAACGTACATAAGGATGAAATAAAATCACTGGAGAGATGAGGCTACTTTCATTTTATGGTGCTACATCAGATCAAATAAAAAAGTATAATGCGATTCAAATAAGAATAGGAAAGCCAATGACCTCTATCTGTCAAATGTCGCATGAAAAGTACGGTTTGCAAAAAAAAAACTTGGAACCCTTTTTTAGCACTCCGCTAATTCAAGAATAAAAACCAAACATTTGTAAACAAACAATAACAAATATTGATAATTAATAGCGGTTAATATATTTTTTTCACTTATTGAGCTTTGGCTATGAATGGTTGATAACCTAAATCGTCGACCAAATGTCACTTTAAGTTGCGTTCAGAAACTCGATTTCAAACTTTCGTTTACATAAAGGATGCATGTTCGTATGTGACCTAGTAATAGTGCATGATTATTCATAGTTCTACTCCGGCGGTAATGCAGAAATGAGCGTAATAGAAGAGCTAGATTCTGATTAATGTTTTTTCTCACAGTCTTAATAAATAAATGTTATATGAATCGGTGTTTTTTTTTCTCAATATGAGTAATTAAATGTTATTAAAAAATCTGATGCTTATTCTCACTTAATCTTAGTAAATAAGTTTTATTAAATAAAAACTTTTTTTTGCTCACTCTACCTATTTGGTTTGAATTGACAGCTATGACATCAGAATATGGCGCCCAGTCGGTCTTATTCTTAGTTGAATCGCATTATAAAGATGCAGCGCTGCGATGTCGTTGCTCGTCCGAGATATTTGGGCTTAGTTTGGTTGTGTGCTTGTATTTGTGTACGTACGTACACGGCAGGGCTTAGTTTTAACCGGTGCCACTTTTTCAGTTCGCAGCGCTCCATCTGTCTGTACTTTTTGAAATTGTACTTATTTAGGCGCGTTATAAAAAAATGATAAAAGTGAAATTTTAAGATGCTCGCGCATCACTGTAACCCAAAAGTTACACCATGAAGTGGGCAACTTAAGCTTAAGCTAAATCGCACATTAAGAAAAGCTACCAACAAAATAGAAAATAGAATCTGTAATAGTTGCGCATGTTGGCACGCTCGTGGCGCTGATCACTGTTTTAATATTTATCCACATGTTTCTAGTTTCTACATTCACAACACGTGTTTTAGTTTCATACACGTGCAAATTTTAAATGTGCTTATAATTATATTCAGTAGTGATTTAAATTGAGTATTCTGATTATTTATTTCATTTTTTTCAAATTAAAACTGAACTTTATTGACTGTGTTGACTAACCTTTTCCAATACCGTTATTATTGGAACGAAGTCCCTTACGGCAGGCTTGGAGGGGATAGGGATTTTGCTGCGCGACCGAACTGAAAAAAATGTGATAGTAAAACCGTAAGAAAAAATCCGTGGAAAAAAGTGCGTGGAATAAAAACGTCAAATGAGACGTTCGCAGGCGCGACAGTCGCATACACAAGCGAGTTTGCAATTTGTGTCGATTCTACATTAGCCGAAGGAACTTCGTTCCTACCTGGTGTCCCACGACACCACATCATTTTTATGTTTTTTATTGTAATTAATTATTTGCATGCAATTAAAAAATAATTTTTAATTATGCCGAAGAAGTATAACTTCTCACGCGCGTACATAAGTACACGCACCCATTTTTTTATTTGATCCGACGGTGCTATTATAAATTAAAAATAAATAAATATTTCCGACACTCACACCAATTAGCCTAGCCCCAAAGTAAGCACTATAAGGCTTGTGTTATGGGATACTTGGGTAACGGATAGAATACATATACTGTACATATATAAGTATATTTATATAGAATTACATACAATAACATCCATGACTAGAGTACAAAATAATGCTCGTATTCATCACACAAACATCTGCCCCCACCGGGATTCGAACCCGGGACCTCTCGAGTCGGCGACACCATGAAACCCGGCGTGCAAACCACTCGGCCACGGAGGTCGTCAAATTATTTGCATACAGTTGACAACTATTTTTTAATGATGCCAAAGAAGTATAGCTTCTCACGCGCGTACATAATTACACGCACCCATTTTTTTTATTTGATCCGACGGTGTTATTATGTATCGTGGTTGTGTCAGGGTCGAGCTTGGTCCCCTCGGGCGCCGGCTGCGCAGTCAACATCTACTATTTGCATGCAATTAAAAGCTAATTTTTAATGATGCCAAAGAAGTATAACTTTTCACGCGCGTACATAAGTACACGCACCCATTTTTACAAGCTTTTATTTAACTTGCTATGTATGTTTGTTACGGTCAAATCTTACAATTCAATTTTAAAGCACTTGCCCTCAACCGATTAAGCTGAAATTTGGTATGCTCGTTCAATTCGGATGACAATGCATGATTAACAGTGTGACGTCATTCTAAATCCAATATGGCGGCAATACCCAAAATGGCGGACCAATCATTTTTAATGCATTCCTACAATATGGGTATCAAATTCAAGGGCTTGCTGAGAGTAACTCGAAAAAAATGTGACGTCACTCTCAATCCAATATGGCGGACTTCTAAAATTTGAAAATCTTTTTAAAATCAGATATCTTTAACTAATTTAGTTGAAATTTTCTTTTTTTCTTTTTAGCGCATTTGAATAAAAGCTTGTTTTTAAAAAGGTTTTTTTTACCTTAATTTTATTTTATTTAATCTAACAGTGCTTGGTTGTGTCAGGGTCATGCTTGGTCCCCGCGGGCGCCGGCTGCGCGGTCAACATCTACGGCGCGGGGCGATCCGCACGCATCTGGGGCCCCGACGCACATCACTTCCGGCCCGAACGGTGGCTGCGGACCACCAGCCCCGACTCCCCCGCGCCCGACACCCGCGCCTTCTACGCCTTCAGCACCGGCAGACGGCCTTGCATAGGTACATCATCATCATCATCATCAGCCTATTAATGTCCCCACTGCTGGGGTAAAGGCCTTCCCTATGGATGGAATAGGGAGATTGGGCCGTGACCCACCACGCTGGCCCAGTGCGGATTGGTGGGTGCTAACGACTGCAGATGTAGCCGGGACCAACGGCTTACCGTGCCTTCCGAAGCACGGAGGAGCTCGAGATAGTAATTTTTGGTCACCCATCCAATGACCGACCACTGCAAAAGTTGCTTAAGTTAAACGATCGCAGGCGAACGCGCTAACCACTTGCGCCATCGAGCTCCTCAAGCATAGGTACGCGCTAGACAGAATACGTTGCGGGTGCTAGAACAGTCGACAACGGTAGCCGCGGCCACGTCTCTCACTCCCGGCGTGCATTGGAGGGACTGCGGTCTTCAGTACCGCCAGACGGCCTTGTATAGGTACGCGCTTGACAGAATACGTTGCGGGTGCTAGAACAGTCGGCAATGGTAGCCGCGACCACGTCTCTCACTCCCGGCGTGCATTGGAGGGACTGCGGTCTTCAGTACCGCCAGACGGCCTTGTATAGGTACGCGCTGGACAGAATACGTAGCGGGTGCTAGAACAGTCACAACGGTAGCCGCGACCACGTCTCTCACTCCCGGCGTGCATTGGAGGGACTGCGGTCTTCAGTACCGGTAGACGGCCTTGTATAGGTACGCGCTTGACAGAATACGTTGCGGGTGCTAGAACAGTCGACAACGGTAGCCGCGACCACGTCTCTCACTCCCGGCGTGCATTGGAGGGACTGCGGTCTTCAGTACCGCCAGACGGCCTTGTATAGGTACGCGCTGGACAGAATACGTAGCGGGTGCTAGAACAGTCACAACGGTAGCCGCGACCACGTCTCTCACTCCCGGCGTGCATTGGAGGGACTGCGGTCTTCAGTACCGGTAGACGGCCTTGTATAGGTACGCGCTTGACAGAATACGTTGCGGGTGCTAGAACAGTCGACAACGGTAGCCGCGACCACGTCTCTCACTCCCGGCGTGCATTGGAGGGACTGCGGTCTTCAGTACCGCCAGACGGCCTTGTATAGGTACGCGCTTGACAGAATACGTTGCGGGTGCTAGAACAGTCGACAACGGTAGCCGCGACCATACCTGCACTCCTTGCATTGGGGGGACTGCGGTCCTCAGAATGTATGCCGGGTGACCGGTGCAGGAGTATTGTCTGGTTTTTAGTGGCCCTGTTCAGGGCGTTAGGTAAGGCCCTGCTCATTTCACCCGGCCCAAGGGCTGGCTGTAATGAGCAAGGAGAAGTCCTACATATCGTCTTCTCGCTCCCCCGGCGGTTGATGAGGATGCGTTAGGCATTTCCCAGACAAAAATACAAAAAAGGACACAGAATACAGAAAGAGGTTAGAAGGATATTCGTAGACCGTTTGTCTGGGAACCGATTTCGCCGGCTCGCCCCCACTACTTTTTCACCTAACAGATAATAGCCAATCAAATGACGCGACATCAAACAATCGAACCAATCTGTACCCCTAGCACGAACCTTATCGAATTCGATAAGTTTGCAAACCGAAATATCAATGTCAAATTTTGTATGGAAACTTGAACAGCAGCGGCACAAAGTACGTAACGAGAACTAAAAATCAGTACACATTTGACAATGACATTTTGGACTCTCAAATGATACGAATTTGATATTGGTTCGTGATAGGGGTACAGAACAGTACCCTTAAGAGAGATTTTTATATTGCAGGTAAACAATACGCGATGGCATTTTCAAAAACTATACTAGCTTTCTGTGTAAGAGAGTTCTATTTTACATCAGAGGTAGACAAGTTAAGGGTAAAGATGGATCTCGGCTTGAAACCTTCTTCAGGTCATCTACTACAAGTTTATCCAAGGAAAACATCAGGTCCAGTGGCTAATCAGCACTTATAGACAATTGTATTTATTTAATTATATAATAAAGTATGTAAAAAATTATGTATATAATTCTTGATTTAACAGTTTTAATAAAATACTATTCTAAATCAATTTATATTAAAATATGTTTCAAAAATTGAAGAAACCTTTTATTTAAATGACCTAAAAGGAAGATAAATTAATAGTGGTATTCTGGAATGACGGGAACCAGGTGGCACCACTGAGCGCGAAAGGTCTACTCATCCGTCAAATCACGTATATCGTCATAGTCTTTGGATCAATTTCAATGCTCTTTGGATTAATTCGCGCCAAAAACTTTATACAAAAGACCTCTTGTCACAGTGGCGCCAACTGGTGATGGAAATTTTCCTAAACACCCTCATTGAACGCGAACGTTAGTTGATTCGTATTCTTCCCAACGAATCCTTTTATTTGATACCCATACATCTTAATCATGGGAATGCACAAAAATTAATAGTCGACTGACTATCTTTGACTTTTCCATTTTGACGTTTTTTAACTTTTATGAGCCGTCCGCTGTATTGGAATTACAAAATTACTTAGCTATGCATTGTCATCCAAACTAAACGTGTATAGAAATTTTCATCTCAAAGAGTGACGAGCTCCATGGATTGCATTGCATAGAATTTAAATAGCTTTCGCAAAGGCTGGTCATCAGATAGTTGATCAAAGTTCATCAGTTATATCGTACTTCTCCATCTTAGATTAAAACAAAAAGGGTAGATACGGCACTAGATAGCCTCACAAAAGTGATCCGCGTGAATTGTGGTCCACGACCCTAATCTAAATAAATAAATATTGCTAATATTTTGTGTTTATATGATAAAACAATGCCTATAATAAGTGTGTTTTTAAAAAGTGCTCAAATTGCTCAAGAACTAAAAATAAAACCCACGGCATCACTTTTCATTCGTAAGTACTATAAAATATATTTTTTCATAAAAATTGCTGTTTGTTTTGAATCTTATTCGGTAGTGACGTCGATTACTGGTCGCGTGATTGGTCGGTAGTGCAGCGACGCGGATCTTGCCGTCTCGTTCGCGCTGCCGTTGAAACTTAACGTGCTGTTTCGTTCGGGTCGGTATTGCAGTGACGCGGATCTCGCCGTCCCGTTCGCGCTGCCGTGGGATCAGTTTTTGTTTGATGCAAGTATGAGCGTACCGTATCTACCCTTTTTGTTTTAATCTAAGTCCTCCATGTTTCAGCAGTCATATAAACCATTGGTATCGGTTACATAAGTAGCAGTTAGCTTATCACGCATATTCTTTAAACTTGATATTTACCTGACCATATTACAAATTAAATTAGTATGAAATCGTACCTATATTATAAATATAATATCATAGCTGCTGGAAAATGGTAAAGATGAGGAAAGAAGGACAAGAAATAATACTCAGACGCTAGTAAAACAACTGATTTTAATTTGCTTGGCGCTTTGTCGATACTAGATGATATTGTGAATGTTAAATTTATTATCTTTAATAATAATAATAATAGATTCTTTCTCTGCGGCCCTAACCACCGGTAGCTTGGGCCTAGCTCATCTGCTGGTGGCCTTCTAGGTTAGGTTTTTGACGTGACAACGTCTTAAATTAGGTTGCGGCTGGGAGTCACTTATGAAAAAGTGTAACGCTCGGTAACGTTACGATGAGTCTCTCGTGTTAAGTTTAAGTTTACATGTACAATGTTTTAGTAAACAAAATATATTTCTATAGTTAAAATTTGTGCAATTCTTATTTTCATTCAATTCCTTGTTCCTATTGTGCAATTTAATTATATTCATATCAATAAATATTCTACCGAGAAAAAGACGTTGTCACGTAAAATCTTCGCCCGTAAAACCGACTTTACAGGCAACCATTTTTTTATACTATATTTATTTTTTGTATTTACGTTATTTTATTCTACTTTTATATCTATTTAATAAAAAAACTTAACTGTGAATGAAATAAAAGAGAGTATAATAATAATAATAAAAAGGTGCAATTTTAAATACATGTCGCATTGTCAGAAAGTTCTTACAAATAGATGAAAACGAAATAAGTTCTCATCACAACATTACAACATAATATAACACAACACATGCTGCACTTACTTGGTTTCGGCCCGTAATTGTAGTAAAAACCAGCCAAAGAGCTGAGAAGAAAAACACTTTAAAAATAATAATAAACACTTTATTGCTCACATACAAAAGGACATAGGTACAAAGAATACATCTAACAATAATACGGGCAAAGGCGGTCTTATCGCTACAAGCGATCTCTTCCTGACAACCTTCGCGGTATAGGTAAGCTAAACGGAAAAGAAGATATAGTAAGCCAGCAGAGTCGATGAGAAATGTAAAAATGTAATCATTTCTTTAGTGTAATTTCATTTTGTATGTAGCATAGTACCATAATAACATCAATTTCATCTACGTCATTGTAGAGCGTAGAGCCGTATATGCCGAGTAAATAGACCTAATGACAGTCATCAAGCAACTGAAGCTTAAAGTCGTGACACCACCAGCCGACAAGGCCATAGTTTTCTGCGAGTTCTGCAGAATCAGCAACACTGTCTTCATATTCTTTGTGTCAAAGTTTTCCCATTTGCAATCGTAAACTGCTTCTTCGAATACCACACTTGCGTCCATCAACCGCTGCCCAATGAAACAATCCATGGCTACTTGAATCAGTGTGAACGGCATTTGGATGTAAGTATTCTCCAAGCCTCCGAGTAGTTCTACTATCAAACCAGCGGAAAGCAGAACGAATTCCACAGCTATAGTAATTCGGAACACATATTCCACTTGATGGATAAGATTGAGGATTGTTGTATGTATCACAACGATTTTTTGGAGGCGTTCCTTTATGAATTGATTTATGACTCGTTTTTTAAAAGTAGGGTCTATCGTACCACCGTTTATGGCAACCTCTGCATTGTTAAAAGTTTCTTGGTAGAATTGCTGTGCGTCATCCCAAAGATGGCGTATTTCTTTGCTGAGTGCTAGCATAGTTCCTTCTGTGTAGCCGATGATAACGATGAAGAATGCTGTGATGTTGGCAGGCAAGTAGCATGTGAAATAGACACCCATCGTATTAAGTGTGAAAGCAATTTCGTAGTTTGGAGTCTCGAACATTGGTTCCAAACCTGGAAGTTAGTATTTAGAAAGCTTAATCAAGTTATAAACAATGGTAAAATCTCAAGAACCTACCAAGATTATTAAGAATTTACCTAATAAAATGAATTGATCTTCCATTATATGCCTTCCGGGTAAGATTATAGGTTTCATAACGTAAGTTATCCCGTTGCCGATAATTACTAACCAATATATCAGAGCACGTTTTTTCACCACCCTCAAGGTTTTAAGCAAATTTTCAGAGAAGCGTTTGCCTTTTATTACGGTGGCGTCGCAGCTCAGGTAGCCGTCCACGATTTTCATTATTACATCTCTGAAACGATTTCTTTTATAAGTAAGTACATACTATTTGACACCATATTAGACAGGAACTGAGGGCGAAAGGAAAATGTAGAGTGCAGCAAGTTTTAACTTTTTTTTTATACGAGTATATCAAGTTTCTAAAACTTTCGTCACATAATCTAAGAAATTATTTCTACTGTACGGCTGTCCCAAATCAAAACACAGCAAGAGACTTCCAACAAATTTTACAGGAGAGCAAAAAAACATGAATTTAATTATTTTTTTGAAACTATGAATCTAAAGCTCAATATGACTATTGGAGATAGATTAAAAACTTTTGCCTTAAGATGCTACAATATTTTGAACAAGAAGATGTATCTATACATAATGTCAACTTCGCCCGTTCTAGCAGAATTTCTCGATCTACCTCTTTCTGAAAATCGGTCTGGATTGTCTGTTCCTGGTTAACATAATTGTTAACAACTTTCAGGTTACTAGGGTTTCTTTTTCTTACAGAGGAATAGGGGAATTGCGGAGTTTCATATTAGATTTGTCTTGCCCATATTCATTTTAAGATTTTTGTTTAGAGACCCTATTAAAGTCTTCGAATATTGTGCTGAGGTCCTCCAACGACTTTGCTAGCTATAATCACGACAGTAAATCGAAGGTTAATGAGATATTTGCCACAGATGTTAATACCGAGTTCATCTAGGCCAGAAGTTTGAAAGCATATTTTGGCAGTGAATTCTGCTTCACTTTCACTTCCCACTGCACCTGGATAGGTTTTGCATTAGGAGCCCAGAAAGTTACTGACATGATAACGTGTGATGTCACAGCAAGTGCCCAAATGCAATCAAAGACTGAATAAGTCCTAAAAAGCTAATTATAGTGGCTTCATATACTCATACGGCTTCATATGGATTAATATTGAACTTTCGTCTTCAGCAAATAATTTTAACGACATTTTTAATTGTTTTTTTTTTTTTATAAATAACGGTTCTTTTAAGATTTGTTGTATTAGATTCAGTTTTGATGGTTTTAGTTTAAGCTTTGGTGGAAAAAAATCAGTTCTGGTGGCAGTGCAAAACTTCGGATGTAAACTATTCGGTGATTATTGCTGCAATTCTCGGAGAAATAAGAAGCAGCGACGCGGCGACTTTATCTATATACTAGGCAGGCAATTTATCAGTCATGATTTCCAATCATCGTTAGCGTTTATACACTATAAAGATCGCTAACTATAAGGCTGATCATGCTCTTGTTCGCCTTCCTTTTCACAGAACTCTTCTTGAGAATTGCAAGATTGCAAGTGCTTTAAAAAGTGAATTCAAGATCATTAACTGAATCGCAATCGATACAAGATTGTCGTCAATTTTGTAAGTGCTACCTATAAAGAAACATGAAGATCAGCTTGCACGGTCCGATCTCGCTGGCGATGCCGAGTGAGAAGACGATCATGGCGGGGATGGTGTCGCCGGTGTCGCTGCATCGCCAGAATACGAACCACACCATGGAGACCAGGTAGATGTAGAAGTAGCTGGCCGCTGCGGTTGCCGTGAGAACGTAGAAGATAATGGGTATACCTGTACGGGAA